TAATATTGTTCGGATTTGCTCTTATTGAGGGGACAATTTTTAAGAACTTTTTTTCTAGATTTTTATAAACAAATTTATTGATAAATGTATTTGATGCAGAATGCAGTCAATCATTTTCCAATCTTCATGTTTTCTGACTGTCCTGTTTTGCTGCTTTCAGTGTATCCAGTAATTTAGAAAGAAATTTAAAAGACCTCCTAGCCTTAACTGCATTTGGGCAGGCTCAAGGTGATTTAGATGTACCCCATAGGAAAGGAACACCCATGATACCAATGATGATCTCTCTCAGAAAGTTTTGATGAAGATTCCACAGTAAAAAAGTTTCTGAGTTCCACTATATCTGCTCGTCAAGTAAGACAAGGTGAGATTTTAGCAGAAAGGGCTCCGGTCTCTAAGTAGAGCGGGCGTAAAGCTGGATTAGCATTAGACATATTGGCTCTTTGTTAGATTTCCTTCTTTTTTACTTTTCTTCTTTATTCTTGTAGATTCCAATTTCTTGACTTTGTACCCTGGCCGTAGATACTGTATTAGTAAGATAGGAGGTTAACTATTCTAATCAAGCATGGGGTACATGCCCCCAACCTTCTCTCCCTCCAATGTGTGAAGCCCAGGAGGCGGGCGGAAACGTCATGTATGTGTGTCTGTACCAAAAAAGTTTGTGTAAGTAATAACGAACCGAAGGCGTGTATTGTAGGATATATACAGTACATAAAAATCTCGTTATCTGTACAGTCTAGGAGAGTACATTTGTTTATTGTTTACTTAAAATAAGTTTAATATATATGTAATATATAATTTATACATTTAAGTCAGCGCTATAAGTCAAATTTCATGCAAAGAATATAATTTGATTAAAGTTTACAATAAACTACCCGTTATTCAAGCTTAATTATCATTGACGACATTATTCTCCAATTTCCTTGACTGTAGTAATTTTGTGTGTCTGTACCAAAAGAGTGTGCGTGTGTAATAACGAACTCGTCTGCAAAGCAGTTCGACTGGCTTTCTCATGCAAGACTAGCGCCATTTCCCTTCCCTTTCACAACGCCCACAATACAAAGTGCAGAGAGCAGTCTAGTCTGTGATCAGCATGCCGACCTATAGGCACAACTAGAACTGTTTCATTTGCCATAATACTTTTGCCATAATTACACTTGCCATAATACCTTTGCCATAAGTAAAACTTGCCATAAGTAACACTTTCCATAAGTTACACTTGCCATAATGGTTACACTTGCTTTGTCATAATTTTCTAATTTTTACTTTACTTTGTCATAATTTTCTATTTCTAAAAAGATATAAATCCAATGTACAGAATGAAATATGGGTACTGTATGTTCGGTTTAAATAGAATTCGAACCCGAATTTTCGAACTGTCTCTGAATTAGATTCGTAATTTGTATTTAATTTGTAATTAAAAAATAAATATATATATGTAGGTTTGTTAATTATAATTTTAATTATGGAAAGTGTAATTATGGCAAGTGTAACCATTATGGCAAGTGTTACTTATGGCAAATTTAATGTTGGCAAAAGTATTTATGGCAAAAGTATCATGGCAAATGAAACTGAGCCCTAGAACTGTAAGTGTCATTTCAAGTGACCCTCCATGCAAATATAGCAATGGCCTATTCACAACGATACCGTTAAAAACTTTGCCTGATCAAGTATGCATTATATATCTATGTTTATATTTTGAAAGCTGATTATTTTCTCTACGAAAGAGACAAGGTATTTTAACTACAAGACAACATACACAATAGAAATTGACACTTTTAAACCTAAACAAAAAGTGCTTGTACTGTAAGAGGTTATCATAAACAAAGGTTATTCATAAAAACACTATCCTTCTTTTGGCCTATCTGATTTAACTGTGGTTTTGGTTGTAGGGCTTATATATTTAATTAGGCGTATAAACCTGAAACCAGAGAATATAAAAAATTCTAAATTCTCTATAAAGTCATTTATTCAATTTGAAAATATCTCCGTTTTAATGTTATTATTAAAGCTATTCTTGATAAAGTAAATTTTCCTTGATATAACCTTTTTCAACCTTGATTTTGCCTTTAAAAGCTTAGTTCAATACTACTAGTTCTTGGATAAACATAAATTTGATTCACTACCTAGAACAAAAAAAATTAGCGCAAAAGAAATAAAACCGAACATCGATATTAAAACAATCCTTGATAAGGTAAATTTTACTTGATTTAGCCTTTTTCAAATTTGATTTACTTTATACAAAAAAAATTGACTTAATTGTTTCAGTTTGAGAACCTTCACTTCATGTATTATGAGTTTAGTGGATTTTAGAAACAGGAAAGTACATTGATAATTATATGATTGTAAAGCTGAGTAATGCAATTTTCTTTCAAAGTTTATAAAGCTCCGGCGTTGCCCGTGGAATTTTTTTAATCGAATTTTGAAAAAAATGTTTAACTTTTGAAAAAAAATAAAATGAAAAAAAGTGGAATTTTTTTAGCCTATGTTAACCCCAGGGTACTCATGGGTTCCCTTAAAATTTGTTAGGCCAGTCGGTCCAGCCGTTTGGGCAGCAGTAGCTGACAAATATATATGAGTAAGAGCTTTATTATATAGACAAACTAGCCTTTTTAATGTTAATGTACTTGATTTACTGTTTTTAAGATTCCATAGTCTATAAAATAAAGTTTTTAGGAATTGAAGTTTCAAACTCAGACTTTTATTCTTGTATTTTTTTTTTGTCAAAACTGATATCTTGCTTGTAATTTTTAGTACCTATTGACTTAAAGGGTGCTTCACTCCCCTCGTTCCCCTTGTAATAATGTTAGCTCTTTAATCTAATTTTAACCCTTTTTTAATCCATAAAATTATCAAGATGCCGATTCTTGTGTTTCCATTATTTTCATATTTTTGTTTTCATTATAATTTACCGATAATACTTGTTACGGATTTGTTGTCCAGATTACGGAAATATTAATATTTGCATATGATTATCTTGAATTTATTATCCCCCACCTTTATGTGAATATTTCTTGTTCCGGGGTGTATAAAAATGGTTAATTATCGCCTTGTAGATTGTTTATGAATATTTTGATTTATGAATTTTGGCCAGACATTTGCAAGATGTTAATAAATCAGAGTATAAACACGGATATGTATACTGGGGGGGGGGGAACTTTTTAAAAACATTGCACCAAACATAAAACAGAGAAAAAATAAAATTAGTATTTTTTAGTTGCCAATGTGGTATGTGCGTAATTTACTAACATACATATATAGTTAGGAAAATTTGCTAATAAATTGACGAATTTTCAAAAATGTAATTTTTGATAATTTTGTCTTTCTGAAAAGTTGGGATTTCCAAAATGATATAAAACATCATTCTAAGCTGAAAACTATGGATTAAACGTAAAAACAAAACAAAAAACGTTAAAAAAATATTTTTTTAAAGGGCCACCCTGTAATGGGGCAATTAAATATTATTTAGTTGATATTCAAGTATAAAATTTGCTACGCTTATTTTATCATTGAAAATATCAAACCAGGAGTTTAAAATTTGAAAAATTTAAACTACATTCTTAAAAATATTCCTCGCATCAAATATTATTTAGCAAAAATCTACAATTACAGATGATATCTACAGTCAAAGTTTTATTCATGGAAAAAATGATAGAATAAAATTACTTTTCGTATAAATCGTTATTACTTTCATTTTACTCCTTTTTCTTTTAAATCTAAGGAACGTCAAATTCTATTTCTATTCCATACATAACACCCATGGGAAGAGTTTCTCCTACACTGTTTGTGTTTCGTAAGTTTATAGTTCTAGTTCTAGTTCTAGTTCTATATCTAGTTCTGGTTCTAGTTCTAGTTCTAGTTCTAGTTCTAGTTCTAGTTCTAGTTCTAGTTCTAGTTCTAGTTCTAGTTCTAGTTCTAGTTCTAGTTCTCGTTCTCGTTCTCGTTCTCGTTCTAGTTCTAGTTCTAGTTCCAGTTCTAGCTCTAGTTCAAGTTCTAGTTCTAGTTCTAGTTCTAGTTCTAGCTCTAGTCCTAGTTCTAGTTATAGCTCTAGTCCTAGTTCTAGTTCTATCTCAAGTTTTAGTTGTACTTCTAGTTCTAATTCTAGTGTATATCTTATTATATCCTTTCACGCAACCCTGACGGACACACTTTACACGAACGAACACACATTAAAACATGTCAATAGCAGAATCAATGTTCAGGAAAGCGTAAATACACAATACTTAGTAATGACGCAAAAAATGATAAATCGTAGTCTTTTTAATAATTATGGCTCGTGTTAATGATTATATATTTTGAACTAGAGTTTAGATTTCCATTTAATATGATGAATGCATAAATATTTAATAATTGTACTCTTATAAATGGTTAGACTAGAATAATCACATGTGACGAATTAAACACCAATTATCAAATTATTACTATGCATTACAGTTTAAATAAATGTTTTACTGTCATCTTTCAGATGTTATTATAATATAGAGCAATAAATGCAATTTGAACCGTTATTCTAACATTTTTAGATTTGTTGGATTTATGAAAAGTATCACCTCCGTCTTGGTTCGATCTTCATCTTAATCTTCTTGTCACATCCTCCATCTTGATTTTATATCCTCCATCTTAATTTCTTATCCTCCATCTTGATTTCTTTTCCTCCATCTTGATATCTCATCCTCCATCTTGATTTTGTATCCTCAATCTTGATTTCTCATCCTCCATCTTGATTTTTTATCCTTCATCTTGATTTCTTATCTTCCATCTTGATTTCTTATCCTCCATCTTGATATCTCATCCTCCATCTTGATTTCTTATCCTCCATCTTGATTTCTCTCCTCCATCTTGATTTTTTATCCTTCATCTTGATTTCTTATCTTCCATCTTGATTTCTTATCCTCCATCTTGATATCTCATCCTCCATCTTGATTTCTTATCCTCCATCTTGATTTCTCATCCTCCATCTTGATTTCACACCCTCCATCTTGATTTCCTATATTTCATCTTAGATTGTCATCCTCCATCTTTATTTTTCATCAGTTCTTTATCCTAATTTTGTATTCTCCATCATGATTTGTCATCCTTTATCTTGATTTTTTATCCTCCATCTTGTTTCTTATTCTTCATCTTGACTTCTCATTCTACATCTTGGTTTCTAATCCTCCATCTTGTTGCATCTTTATATTCAATATCTTATCCGTAATATCAAAAATATCCGTAATATCGGTTTTTAAACCCCATCTTTTCTAATTTTTCGCCTTCGCGGGTTTTAACTTTCAGTTTTTGATATCGTAAATAGTTTAGTATCCACAGCGACCTTCATCTTGTTTTTTTATTATTAAATGTCATCATGGACGACGAGGGTTTACCCGATTTAGTTTCTTAAACCCTGACAACCTCAACAATCTTCTTTGTGACCCTGAGGCATGGAGGTCGGACCTCGTAAATATCAAGTTCACACTCTCTCTGTCCTCTTGAGGCTATATAACTATGCATGGTTTTACTCTCGTCAATATACGCCATGGACACAGCTTCTTCTTTTCCAGGTTCGGAGGAAGAGTTTGGAGAAGAGCATGAGGAGAAAGATGAGGATGAGGATGATGATGAGGAGAAGGGAGACGAATGAGCCGAATCACTGCAACGGTTCAGCTCTTGAGGGTCTGAGCCCAGATCCTCTCCCCCTGAATCCATACAGATTCCTGGATCGCTGGGGGAGTGTGACATGGATTTGAGAGGAGAGACAGTTTGGAGAAGAAGTGGAAGAAAGTTTTCAACGGAACCTCTCTCCCGTCCCTGGTTATCGTTATGTTTTCTGTACTGATTTGTAAACCCGGAACTATACGTCTTCTGAGCAATCTTCTGTAGCTCCGTCCAGTCTCCTGTTATTGTTGTACGTCGGGATTTGAGTTTTTCATTTTTTCTCTGGAACTGTTGAGATTCTCCAGATTTGTTCTGCAACTGGTGAGAGGACTCATGACTGAGAAGAATTGCTCGGAGAGGAGATCCTCTATTATGAACATACCTTAAAAAGACATATTAGTCCGGGAAGATAAACCAGGGATTCTCATATCTTTGTTTAGGAAAGTGTGCGGCAATATCAGGGGGGGAATAGAAAAAAACGATCTGTCGTCAATTTTTGTGTTGTGCATCTCAGGATTAAGTATTGATGTCAATATTATGCAGACCTACGAATTAATTTAATTCCTCTTTGATATCCCGTGATAGTCACACCCTGCACGGATTACTTAGATTGTGTGATCAGCATTTATCCTCAAATTAAAAAGTGTCCAAATTGGATAAATTGAGATTAAGCGTTCAAGATTAATTATATCCACACAGCGCTGACTAAGCTCATAGTTTTTTTATATTTCTCCAAAAAACTGCAATACACTTATTTTGTATACTTAGGTATCAGATCCGGTTTCTGTTTGTTATAGAACTGATTTGAATAATATTAATGATAACATAATAATAATAATAGAATAGGTTCTTAAAAAAAATTCTTATAGTATTTTTTCAGATTTTGTTTATAATATTTAAAATATTTGAAAATATGGAATGCCCGAATCTTTTTTTCAGCTAAAGTCCAAACTCAAGACTTAGGTTTATCAGAACTTCAATATCAACCCTGCTTCTGAAAGATTTGACTTAAAGGGAGTGTAAAGTCGTATGTTGCAATTTTCTCAATTTGTATGGACGCCATGTTATTTGGTATGAGAAGTCTTTAACAATTTTCTCCTTATAGACGCAACAGATAGAAGTAAGATTAAAAGCGATAAAAAGCGCTTTTTTATCGCATTAAGCCTATACCCCCTTTCATTTTTCGCGAACACTCCCTTTAATACAATAGATTAATTAACAATAACAGATAGAACACTAGATATCGTCTTTTCAAGAGTTAGGGGTTTTTCGTTCACAATAACCCTGAGGCAGAAGCAGAAGCACATGGCTCCAGAGACAGAGCCTGTTCTACGTCCCATGCGCGTAACCCTTTGGGCTTCTGCCTAAGGGTTATTGTGAACAAAAAACCCCAAAATCTAGAAAAGACGACATAAAGTGTTCTATCTTTTATTGTTAATTAATATATGCTTAATGCAGACAAATATTTTATTTATTTTTTCTTTTAATTGGAGCATTCCAGAACTAAATATACCTGGGAAGATGGTGAGATGTTGCTATTCTGTTCAATCTCTGAGTTGAAACTCGTCCTTCGCTATGCGGACGAGATGTCCTCTCATCAAATAAATACTCCCCCTGTTCGTCCTGGCCCTCCCCTCGTCCTGTCCCGCACTGATTTGGAGTTGATATGTTCTTCTGTCCTAATTGTTTTCTCCTTTAATAATCATTTGTTTTGGAATCATGATTTTTAAAAATTCTACGATTAAAAAAACGTTTTATAAAACATATTAAAACCCAATTTGCAATTTAATTTCTGTATCTAACATAATTATCATAATCATATCGTTTATTTCGAATTCTGAATTATGTTGAATCAAATAGTATTTGAAATATAAAAAAATTACACCATCAGGTTGCGAAGATCTTTTTAGATTAGAGATTTCAAGTTTGAGGCGAGTAATCAACTTCTTCTTTAATAATCGTAGATTATCACAAAGTAAAGTTGACGCCAAAACGAATTTCCTGTAATTATTTTGCTTGCCAATACAGGTGCACTTTTCTTCTCCTGTTTTTTCTCTAACTCTTTCTGTATCCATCCTAGCATCATTAGAACCACTCCTACTCGTTCTTACATCTTGATAATCATCCCGGCTTGTCCTCAGACCTTGAGAGCTAACTATTTTACTCCGGGTACCTTGAGAGCTAGATCTACTAGTTCTTGTATCTAGAGAACTAACCCTGCTAGTTCTAGTATCTAGAGAGCTAAACCTCTCAGACCTAGACGAACTCAAATCCCTGATTTCTACACACGATTTATTTCTTCTCCGACTAGAAATATGATCCCTTGAACCCCTCCTCATGTTAACTCCATGTACAATTGTATCTTCATCCTCTTCTCTATTCTCATCTACTCCGGAGAAACTGAACCTATCCTCTTCGTCCTGGATACTCAATCGCTTTTTCCTGCTCCGCTCTGTAATCTGTCTCTCTAGTGTAGACAATGCGGCAAATGTTCTCTGGGGTCTCCTCTTGGTAGATTGTGTTTTGATCTCACTTCAACATTTTGAACATTAAGAACTGATCAAAGGGTGGCAATGCATGTTTAACCATAAAAATAAATAATTTAGGAACCTTTTTTAAATTCTGGAATTGCTCCGATTTGGTAGGAACTAAAATATACGGCAATAAGATTTTGTTATTGATTTATTTCTCTTAATGATTCCAACCTTGTACGTGAAATTTTTTCAAATAATTCAGGTTACCCACAAATGAAAAAAAAACTCTTCAAATAAGACAATTCAAATTTTGAATTAAATCTTCTGTGGCGCCTTGAATATGGTCTTAAAATGGCTTATTTTATAATTTGGCAATGAACGAAAGAAGTTTATACTTGCAGGGATTCATGAATATAAGGAAACAGACAAACTTTGAAGTCTCATCCTTTGTGGGTAACCCTGCATCCAGTCTCGACTAATATCATAAGGTAATTATCATAAGGTTTAGTCTATTTTTAAAACAAGATTTCCAAAAGAATATTTTTGTGAAAAATGTTTTAATATTCATTCCTGTGATTATCCATACTTCTAGAACTAGTTAAAGATGTTTTCCATTGTTCTGGTCTCAACCTTAGAGAAGAACTGAACCCTTCTCCGTCCAACAATGATCTTAAGTCTCTATCAGAAATGTTTTCTCTGCTTCTTGGTTCTGTTTGCTCTAGGTGTTCAGGGCTTTCCTGTTTATCTGTCTCCGGGTCCTGTCTAACATTAGGCTCTGGGTCTCCAGGTTTCCTTAAACTCCAGTTAATATTCTCTTCTTTCCCCGGGTTTACGTCATTTTTTTGTTTTCCAAGAAATAAAATTTCAAGTTCATCCCCCTCCATTGATCGCATGTTCTCTTCCATCCTATCCCTGGTCTCCTGGTCTATCCTGTTCTTATCTATACCCGAATTAGACTCCCATCCCTTCTTATCCTCCCAATGATACATCGCATGATCCCTGCTATACCTGAAAAATCTCAATTCTTAAAACTTTATATTGAAAAAAACATTAAAAAGTTAATTTTTCCCCAGAGTTAAACTGAGAAGTTGTTTCTCTTGGTTAAAGTTATGCCTAAAATTACAAAGAAAATGCAATTTAATGATTCCTGGATATCAGAAAGATAATCAATTTGAAATCATGACCAATTCACCCCCCCGGGGGGGTATGGTATCTCTCCCTTGGTTTGATCAAGGTAAGAAGAAAAATGAGAGTCCTTGGTGGTAGAGAAGCCATTAGAGAGGATTTCCAGTTATCCTACAAAAATATATATTGTATCCGTCCTACAAAAATTTATGTTGTATCCGTCCTACCCAAATATATATTGTATCCGTCCTACCCAAATATATATTGTATCCGTCCTTCACAAATATATATTTATCCGTCCTACCCAAATATATATTGTATCCGTACTACACAAATATATATTTATCCGTCCTACCCAATATATATTGTATCCGTACTACACAAATATATATATTGTATCCGTCCTACACAAATATATATTGTATCCGTACTACCCAAATATATATTGTATCCGTCCTTCACAAATATATATTGTATCCGTCCTACCCTAATATATATTGTATCCGTCCTTCACAAATATATATTTATCCGTCCTACCCAAATATATATTGTATCCGTCCTACCCAAATATATATTGTATCCGTCCTACACAAATATTTATTGTATCCGTACTACCCAAATATATATTGTATCCGTACTACACAAATATATATTGTATCCGTCCTACACAAATATTTATTTGCTTGATCCCAAGAATCAGATACACAACGCAAAAATTCTGAAGCATCTCAGTCGTTAAAAATGTGTCGTTTAATAAAGAGAATTCGATCTAAACGTCTGTGTGTTTATTTTGTTTGAAAAATTATGTTTGAAGTATAATTTGTAATCTTTCATGGTTTTGAACAAAAACCTCATATATAAAAATATAACAAATTAACGCATTTGCAACCAGAGCAAGTTCAGAGTCAGACCAATAAATTAGAGCTAAAATCAGAAAAAAATACAAAAAATAAAACCTTGGGAGGAGTAAACTTCAACACTTAACCATTGTTCCTCTTCAATATAATGAGCAAAATGTTTTATGTAGCTATGATAATTTTAAAAGTCACTGGCAACAAAAAACACTAATCTGATTGTCGTTTTCTTTTCTTATTTGTTACAGATATATTTCTAAAAATATGGCTTAAACATTCTAGACACAGAAAGATATAAAAATAAGAAAATGCAAAATCCATTGGGATAATTCTTCTATTATAGTAATATCAGTTTTTTAAACGAAAAGAATTCTGCCGATTTTTTGTTTGTTACTTCTGTAAATTACTCCAAGGTCAAAATGTTGAATTACTAGTAAGACTTTGCAACCTCGAAGCTCCTCATGTTATTATTTTACGCCAAGTTTTAAAAAATTGATCTTATTTGGTTGCATGTTAGATTTTGTATTTCTCAATAGTCTTTAAAAAGAGTATTTTTGAGTCTTATCAATTTGACGTAAAAAATATGATTTTAACCTTGTATTGAAAATCTCCATCTTCCTTCCCTTCTTTCCTATACTGAGGGAAAACAAGACCACGCTCCATCGATCCTAAAAATAATGAATTATTAATATTTCATTAATTAAGTTAATGTCGTCATTTCTAGCTTTGTTGACAAACAAAACACAGCTAATAAAGTTGATTGCAAACATTTATCCTAGATGCGAATATGAGAGTAAAACACTTTAAAATCTATTTCTAAATCTTATACAGGATTGTACACAAAGGACTAGACTGCACAGTACACAGTGAACAGTTTTCCAACTTATTTTTTAAGCTAAAGGTCTGTTGCAGCTGTTCTTTTCTAATATTATAAAATTTACTAGGCGTTATTCAAAATAACGTTTCATCGTTCGTCTCAACATGGAGGAAAACTAATAGTAGTATGAAGGTCATGTACAGGGTTACCAACAAAGGATGAGACTGTAAAGACGACTTGAAACATTTTAAATATTTTCTGCCTTGAATATTGTCTTTCCATGCCCTATTTATGACAACGAAAGGAACTAGTTAACAGTTGCAGAGAATCATGAATATAATCCTTGTCCTTGTATAATCCTTGCTACAGGATTTCTAAAATGTGTTACGTTTATTTTGTCCCTTGAAAATTAGCAATGACATTTAGATTTCTGTTCGGAATTTTACTAAATAGATCAACATTTCTTAATCTCCAACATGTCCGGAATCCGCATGCTTTTAAAAAGGGAATAAAATCTAGATCAAGTTTAAGAATAGTCTTAAAATCAAAATGTACACCCATGTATAAGATACCCTTAATCAAATATCAACCTTAAGCAACGAGGTCGAAATTCTCCGCCCCCCTTCCCGTCCGCCATGCCCCCCTCACTAAACATTTCTCCGGTGTGGGGATTAAGTGCTTATTAAAATACATAAATGATAAATAAATTAGTTATAAGGAAACGTGGGAATTAAAAATAAAAGAAATGATGGGTTCAAATATAATCAATAATTTATTATTCAATCAAAAAAAGAGATTTTTAAATACATATTAAATAAAGGTTTTAGAGACGACTGTACGGAATTAATTTAGTTTTTTATCAATTGTATCCGTGAAACTGTAAACTTACTTTTTAGCCAAATCATTTAACATATAACTATATAGGAAAAAAATCTTTTGAAAGTCTCATCTTTTTATGGGTAACCCTGTATACCTGATATATATTGAATACCGTTTATGTTTATTGCGCCTATAGCAATATACATATATCAATACAATCTATATATACAACAATCTATATATACATATAGATTATTGTTATCTAACCCACAGGGTTACACACAAAAAATGAGACTTTTTTGTCTTTTGTCAAATAATTCAATAGACTTTATCAATGATACAAAATCTTATTAAATCTAGAGAGTTTTATGAAAGTCTCATTCTTGTGGGTAACCCTGTTTACCTGATAAGTATTGATCCCGTCCATTTTTATTGCTCCTGTCGGGACCGGAACCAGGCGTGAACAATCCTGAATCTAGATCTATTCTTTTCCGAACCTTTCTCCTGCATACATCATCCAGTCTTATTGAAAGGAGATAACAAGAGAGAAAAAGAGATTAATCATAGAGTAATGAGGATAAAGGGATAAGGTATTGAAACAGAGAAATTCCAGAGGCGTGAAAGATAAAAATATTACGATTTTAAGGATGGAAGGAGTAAGGTTTGAAGGATGGAAGGAGTAAGGTTTGAAGGATGGGAAGAGCATGGTATAAAGAACGGGAGAAGGTTGAAGGGACGGTTTAAGTAAGTTCTGAAGGCCAGAAAATCTACCAAAAAAACAAAAAGACTTAAATCCCTGAATCCTGAGAGAGCCAAAATAATCTTTGCTCTGGTTCCTTCACTTGAATCGCTCATTTGTCCTGAACCCGTCCTGCTCCGGTCTCCGGGTCTGCTCCAACCCCAGAGAGAACGGAATTCTCTAGTTTCGTCTTTGATAAGTCTTGGTTCACTTTTATGCCAAGTATATTGGTTTAAACCCTCTCCTCTTAACCTTCTCAGCTCGACCAAACTCTGAAATAAATTAACAAGTTTCAAAATGCAAATTTTGTCAGGTAAATCTAGTGGATTATTGTTTTGTTTTTTAAATTAACCCATTTTACTAAAATGGACTGTAAGCATAACCTTTATCTAATCAATAATATATAGAAGATAACCTCGTTTTTCTGACTCCAAAAAAAATAATAATAAATTAATGCAATAAATGGAAAGTTAGAGAGTGGAGAGACCATCCTCTACTCTGGCCCTGAGAGGGAGTGGCTATTATGATAGCATGAGAAACCACTAATAGAATGCACTCTAAATTAAATCATAAATCGTTTATTTTACAAAACAAAACATCGCTTTTAACAAAAATCCGCTTATTTTGCAGAAGACGATGGTGACTGACAAATAAACGACCCAAAATCGCTTATTTTCAGTAAAAAAATCGCCTATTTTAAATACAAAAAATCTCTTATATTCAACAAAAAACTTACTTATTTTCAACAAAAAAATTGTTAATAAAAATCGGTTATTTAAACAAAACGCTTATTTTTTTATAAATAATCGCTTAAATTCACCTAAAAATACCTTTTTTTTAAAAACATAATTTTCAGAATCATGTACAGGGGGTAGAGGCTAAAGGGGGCTCTGTGCCCCCTCCTGGGTCAGTGAAGTCTATGGTTTTCATGTGAAATAAAGACATTATTTTGGTACAAGAAGGGGGAAGGGGAAGGGACAAAAAGAGGAAAGGGGAAGAAAAGGAAATGGTGAAAGTGAAAGAAAAGAGGATTGGAAAAGGGATGGGTCAGGAAATGATGGAAGGGAAAGGGGATAAATATTGAGCTAATGGAAGGGTTAATGAATGGGAAAGAGAAAGGGGAAATTTATTGGGGAAGGAAAAGGGGAAAGGGGTGCAAAAGGGAAAAGTGGAAAGAGCCGGGGAAAAGGGGGGAAGGGAATGAGACGGGAATAGGAAAAGAGAAAGAGGAAGATTAAGAAAAAGGGAGGGGAAAGATCGAGAAAAGAGATGAGAAAGGGGACAGAGAAAACTGAAGGTAATGGGTACAGAGCAAAAAAACAGGAAGGAAAGTGAAAAAAGAGAAAGGGGAAGGGAAAGAAAAAAAGGGAGGAAAGAGGAATGGGGAAATGAACGGGATATGAAAGAGGAAAGGGAGTAGATAAAATGGAAAGGGGGAGGAAAAGACAAAGGAGATGGGATGGGAATATAAAAGAGGTATGAGGAAGGGAAAGAGAAAGAAAAACGGGAAACAGGAAACTGGAAAGTGAAGGGGAAAAGGAAATGAGAAGGAAAAAGGGAAAAGGAAGAAAAAGAAAGGATTAAAGGGGACAGGAATGAGGAACTAAAAGGGGGAAGGGAAAGTGGGAAAGGAGAAAGAACAAGGGGGAATGAGGATGGGAAATAGGAGGCACAGCGGAAGGGGAAGAGCAGGAAAAGGAAATGGAGAAGAAAAAGGAATGGGAAAGGGTAAGAGAAGGGAAGGGGGAACACGCAATTTCACAGTATATAGGAATGGTGGGGGGTAAGTTTAAGAAATTCTTAACTATATGAGAAATCATTTAGTATGGTTAAGGATAAGCCCCCCCTACCCCCCTCCGGAAAAAAATCCCCTGATCCTGATCTTCTTAATCGTTTCATCCAATCATGGAGACAACGTTTCCAGGAAGTATTGAACCGTCCTGAACCTGAAGAACCAGCAGAACCTAAACCCTCAGAAATAACCCTGGACATTGATACTGGACCCCCTACTACAGGAGAAGTCAAGGTTGCTATTCTTGCCATGAAAAGTAAGTAAGCTCCTGGTATTGAAATGATACAGGCTGAGATGTTGATAGCTGACCCCCAGCTATCCAGCAAGGTTCTAACTGAATTTTTCAGAAAAATCTGGGAAGGAGAGGTGATCCCAGAGGACTGGTCTAAAGGAATAGTTGAAAAACTACCAAAGAACGGAGATAAAGGAAAGTGTGACAACTGGAGAGGAATAACCCTTCTGTCCATCCCCAGTAAAATACTCTGCAGAATTATTTTGAAAAGGACGGATAAAGCCATTGACAGTTAACTACGGGAGGAGCAAACAATAACCGGTAGAGGCTGCATTGATCAATTTTTTTCTCTCTGCAACATCATTGAACAGTGCTCTGAATGGAACCAGCCATTAAATATAAACTTTGTGGATTTCAGGAAAGCATTTTGATAGTATTCACACTTCACAGAACTAGTCTGTGGAAGATAGCTAGGAGCTATGGAGCTGGCAATTGACTGGGTGATAAGGAAGACCACCTGGGACAGAAAAAGAGGGATTCAGTGGGGCTTGTTCAATCAATTAGAAGACCTGGACTTCGCTGATGATTTAACTCTACTACGCTCAAATCACAGAAACATGCAAGAAAAGTCTGTCAGATTGGTAAAATATGCAAAACAGGTATAACTCTATGTAAACACCGACAAAACAGAGGCTATGAATATCAGTAATTAGCCAAATCAAACCTTAGTTATGGAAGGAAAAAATGCAGTTTGTTGAAAAGTTCACCTATCTTGGGAGTGTAATAAGCAAGGATAATGGAGCAAAGATAGATATTACGTCAAGACTGTCTAAAGCAAGACACGCAATTATCCTGCTGACCAATATCTGGATATCAAACAAGCACAGCATGAAACAAAAAATTGAAACTGTAAAACAGCAATGTAAAATCTGTGCTTCTCTACGGTTCAGAGTGCTGGAGGGTGGTGAAGGGAGCAAAGTGTCTTCCATCCATAACACCTGTCTAGATGAGAAGGATATGCAGGATATTCTGGCCCAACCAGATTTCCAATGCAGAACTGGACTCCAGGACCAATAGTATAGATATGCAAGAAGAGATCAAAGGAAGAAGGTTAAGATGGTTGGGACATGTACTGAGAATGGAAAATACTAGGACACCTAAGACAGCACTACGATTGACTCCACCACAGAGAAGGAGCAGAGGCAGACGAGGGAGGGAGTCCAGAGTTCCTCAAATAGTAATCACCGCCACCCAAATCTGTTTTGCGGCAAGCGCGCTCCTCAATTGGTAATCTCAACCACCTCAATTAGTAATCACCGTAAAATTTTGTTTTCTGTGATTTTAATTTGATGCACTTTTAACACAATTTTTGACATCTATCGGGGTTTTATGGCATCTGTATTGACTTAAACTAAATTTTCAAATTATTTTCAGATTTGTTTGGTCAACAAAAACTGAGAATCAAGGCACAGTTCATTTTAGCCGAATCTTCGATCCAATTCGCCACTTTAATGACTGCATTTCATGATTGGCGTCAAGATACAAAAAAGGTCGGGCTGCCTGTTTACTAAAAATTATCTCATCGCGCCCAAAGTAATATCAATCTCCATTTAAAAGATATTTTCAAAAAACCTTTACAGTGTTTAGATTTTTGTATTGGCCAACTCGAGTTCAACATCTACAACAAAACTAATTATATGCATAGAAAGAACATAAAATTTTAAAAAATTAGTCTCATCACACCAACTACTGAAAATGAAGTATTTAGTCCACTAATAATGGGTTAAAGTTTCCTCTCTATATAAGGAGTGTAAAACAACATTCAGAGGAAAATGCCGCAAACATTCTTAAAGCGAAACTTGAAACTAAAAAACGTAATATATTTCTAGCACATAGTGTGGCAGATTTATTGATTTATTTTCGAAACTAAGGAGCAATAAAGAAAGCTTTAACAATATTGTACACCATAGGGCCATTAAAAGAGGTCAATATGGTCTTATTTCTAAGAAATAAACGATTTAATTTTATGCTTTTTTGGGCTGATTACTATTTGAGGTGGTGGAGATTACCAATTGAGGAGCGCGCTTGCCGCAAAACAGATTTGGGTGGCGGTGATTACTATTTAAGGAACTCTGAACTCCCTCCCTCTGCAGACCCAAGACTACTTGGAGACGCAGTGTGGACACAAAGCTGAAGGAGATTAATCTAACCTGGGGAGAAGCTGAGAAGATTGCTAAGAAGAGAGAAGAATGGAAAGGGATTTTCAAGCGGCCTTATGTCCCACCAGGGCCGAAGAGGATTAAGTAAGTAATTTTGGCAGAGAAACCACAAATAAATAAAAAGTTTAAAGAAACAAAAATTTATACTTGATCAGACAAAGCTTTTAAGGATGCCGTTGTAAATCGAGCATTGTCATCTTACATAGAGGGTCACTTTAATCAACGCTTACAGTCCCTTTAAGCATAGAAATCACAAGAAAACTGCTTAAATGTTGTTTTCCTGTTTTACATTTTAATATGTCTCACAGTATGAAGATATTTTACAGGAAATTTTTTAAATTGGCTTTATGCACCTAATTTTTAAATTGTTTAAATCACGGAAAATGTAAGATGATATTTCCGATGATTGCACAGAAATATTTTGATATTTTTTTCAAGGTACAGTGGGACCCATAAAACTGTGAAATAGGAAGACGATTCTTAAGCTTACACAAGCTATAATTTAATTATAAGTTGAGTATCAAGCTATGGTAAAACTATTTGCTTCATCACAACATACCGTATTGCTATTTTACAGTTTAATGGGTATCACTGTATAAAGATACGAGGTATGTTCAATAAGTTTTACGAAAACAAATCTAAAGGTACTTCTAGACGTCTCAGCCCTGTAATTTTCTTTTTCAAAGCTCACTGTATCCCTCCCGGTGTTCTTCTTTCGGCAGACTTTACTCATAAAACTTTTTATTTCTTTGTAATCCGCCTTTTCCTTGAGGTTCTCCGTTGTCACAGCATGGGAAAGTTTTTAAAAACAACCAGGGAAAGAGGACACTTGGGAAGTATGGGATGCTCGATACATAAAAAATTAGTGTTTACTCTCCAGATATAAAGCAGGCACCTTTGACACGATCCAAAATGCATAAGAGAGTAATAAAATTGACAAGCCAATACTCTACAAGTGAACTAAAAGTCAAAAAGTGTAATTGAAAGTGTTAGCAGAACGAGGAAATGTCTGAGCAGAAAAAGGCCAAAAAAACCCCACAAATAGTCGACAACCAAATTCGCAAGTTTTGATGAGCTTGACATCTACAAAAATATTTTTAAAGCAAGATTTGAACAATATTTGCTCCAAAGAGGTACTTTGAAAAAAAATACTAATTTGTTTGCTGAAATGTAGATTACTACTATAAAAACCCTCAAGGACCCTTTCTACAATAAAGGCTTACCCTCCTCTGACTTTTTAAGGTTACCCGAAGTTTAAGTCTGTAGATAAGGTATTTAGGCTGTAACAAGCATCGTTAACGGGATCCTGGAGAAAGCTAATTGCTTGCAATCGCGTCTGATCGACATTAGCTTGTCAGAAAACTGAACCGCGGTATAAATATAGGGAACTTAAAAAAAACTTAATGGGCTAAGACGTCTAGATTCTAGAAGTACCTTAAAAAAAATTCGCAAAACTTATTAAACATTCCGACCGTATTTTACAGGATATTCAATTTATATTCAAGTGTTTTTATGCGCTTCATGAAGATCCACTGTAAATTGTTTATATCACGGAAAATGTTTGAAAGTGTTAGATGATATGTTTGATGATTGTGCAAAAATATTTTCATATTTCTCAAGGCTAACATCATCACCTGGTGTGAGCTGAACGTTTCCGTTCCACGGTTTCTCCGGAACTGAGTTCCGTCCGGTCCTTTAGAGATGGTTCTCTCATTCTCTCCGCTCCGCCCCCGTCTTCCTACTCCAACCTTATCCCGGAGCATCCTATGATCTGTAGAGTGTGATCTGAGAACTCGAGAACTAAGATAAAAAATATTAAATCTTATAATCCGTAGAGGTTACAAAACTATGAATTTACAAAAAAATATTTTCTAAGAACAATTTTATTAGAAACTGATTACTTGCCACAAACGTAAATTTTCTAATGCATATAACAGTGCAATCTGATGATGAATTCTCTTTATATTTCATACTTTAAACACTCTCACACAATAATCTATGACAGCAATAAAATCTTGATATCCATGGCTACAAAAAAATGGCAGGTTAAGCCAAGTGCAAAAGTATGTCTGATCAAAACAAAAGCCAACCAAGGACGAAAGTCTGACCGATTTTAATGGATGATGCATAATTTACACAACTGTGTATGTCACTATGCTTACAAATTTAGCCAGCAAAATTCGTTTGCAATAAATTAGTTAAAACTAATAAAACTTGTCAAAATTTTTGTAAAATTTCGTAGAAATTATAAAGTTCTAAAATTAGTCAAATTGTAATTTCAATTGTGTAATTATAAACCTGGCTATCTAATTACATTGCTGGATACTACGGAGAACATGGTTAGTCACAAACAATGAGATTTAGAATATTAAACTCGGAGACTATCACAAAACTTTATAAGGTTGCTCTTTCTTCTTTTTAAATCTTCATTTTTAATGGATTTTTTTTTGGCAGAATTGACGAGAAGTATCATAACTTTATAGTATTGATTAAGACTTAAGATCAAAATAGAATGGTTTGAACGATGCATGTGAAGGTAGCGTAAACCACACAAAGGATTTTGAAGAGTAGAAGACAGAGAGGAGAGGGATGGTAGAATACAGTAATTACAGCTGTTTATTAGTGCTTACCAATAACATTCAACCGTTGAATTTCCAGGGTGTCCCAATAAACCAGGGAATGCAGTGACGAGTTCGATATTGTCTTTGTTATGAATTAGCATTGCAATACCTGATTTCAAAAGACATAATATTATTATGTCTGCTAGAGTTTATTTTATAAAAACAGTAAATGGCTGTAAAGATGTGTTTACAAAAATAAGATTTATAATTTCTGGACTTTGTTGTAATCCATGCATGATTGATAATGTTCACTAAAATATTTGTATCGGTACTCGATCTGCCTATGCAGTAAACGAGCCTCCGCTATACAGCACAGTTTCTTTATAAATCTTGGGTTTTACATGTAATGAAGAATTTTTTAAAAATTGTTTCAGCATAGTAGGACAAGCATTTTACTAAAGATTAATGTTATTTATTGATTGTCATGATTTGTAACTTATATTGACTCATAAAGTGGTTTATAAGATTTAACTTTTATAAAGAAGAAAGGAGGCTATTTGGAAATTCATTTCTAAATTGAACTTAGTTTATTTTGTTTTAATCGTTGATTTAAGCAAAACCTTTTTTTAAGAATTCTTTTTATGAATTCAGCTTAATTTTTGCTTATCTTAATCTGATAAAAATTTCAAACAAAGGTATCGCTTAAATAAAGATTATAAAATATCAAATATCAAGTGCCCCCCCTCCCCACTTTGAGGAAGGCAGAGTCGAGAGATGATAAATTCAAACCTCAGATTGTCTTGGCAAGTACAAAATTTACTAATTTGTATTATTCCTGCTTTTGATTGTCGTCTTTGTCTTTTCCTATGCACAAACCCGGAAAGCGCATTGTGAATATTTTTTCTTGATTACCCTGTACCCTGTAGTTATCGAACCTTTGATTTTTAGGTACTTTTAAGAACGGACAATCTGTCTAAATCTCTTCGTAAAGAATTTCTGGACAATCAAAGAAAAAAAAAACATGACAAATGTTGTTTTAATCATATTTACAAGACATTTCTTTTAAACTTGAATTGATTGATAATCCCGGAATTAACCGTGAATTATTCACGAATGATTATTGTATGAATCCGCGAACAAGATTTTCTAAACCGCATTTTTCACATTCCATGACTTAAATACTTTATATTTTAAACTGTCTAAGAGCTTATTTAATCAAAAGCCAAAATTAGGGAAAGGGGGTAAGGGGGAATCTCATCTCGCATTTTTGCACTTTTTTCAAAAAACTTTGTGTACATGGTCCATTTGAAGTTGGGTTGGAAAACTAACATTTTCTCCCTTTCAAATTTTGTTCGAGAGATATAATTGGGGATGTAAAAATGTGTGAAATATACATAACATTGTCTTCACAATTTCAAACAAAATATTAAGAGGCTATCTAACTGGACAGTACTGCAAGAATATTAAGAAATAAAGGAATTGAGTCTTTGCCACAAACTCTGATTTTTAAATCTCTATATCTTTGCAACCCAATGTCGTAGACTTAAAATATTTCAAACTATGAATTCTGTTAGATAAAATAACCTTAGTTAGAAATATCAAAGCTTCTCGCCATCAGGTTAAAAGGATATAGGGATAGGAAAATCAGTGTTTGTGGCAAAGACTCAATTCCTTTACGTAATTTCAGCCAGAATCAAATCCACTGTAACAGACCTTTATAGTCTTAATAAAATTGTTTTCCTTGTTCATATTATTTGAAATGGTTTCTTTTCTTCCCTCCCTTATCCCCTCTCCCTCCTCCACCTTTCATCGCTAGAAAAATTGTGATGACAACAAGTTTTTGAAATTACTGAATTGTAAACGTATACATAATTCATTTCTCTTTTTTTGGCTGCAGTCCAATAATTTAGCAAATTTCTATTTCACTTTTGACACTTTCATTCATATTTAAATGACAGAAATAAACGTTGGTAATCTTTTTTAAATGTACTTTTTATATGTACACATATCTCAAAGTCTACAAACTAATTTAATGTTTTGTGTACAGAATATTGAGATAGACCTCACTTGTTAAATTTCTACACAAAAATAAACTTTTCCAGTAAATCTTTGAAGAATACTTTCCAGGGAATAGGAATAAAGGGAAGGGAAATGGCGCTGGTCTGGCATAACAAAGCCAGTCGCACTGCTTTGCAGACGAGTTCGGTATCACACACGCACACTCTTTTGGTACAGACACACAGCATGACTACAGTCAAGGAAATTGCAGAACAATGCCGTCTTCGCTGTTCTACTATATTATTTGTTAAATCCCGAACAACACACAAAGCTTTGATGAAATCTGCTTAGTCTTTTTTTCTTTATACCTTTTAAATATTCTTTTTGTATCTTCTTTATACTTCTCAATAAATTCTTAATAATCACCAAAAATTTTATTGAATTCTTACTATACAAGACTTGTGTGATCTTCTAATTTTCCTTCTCATTAAAAGGTCCTATGGGGGGGGGGAAATTTGACACCCCGCCCCTTGTAGTTTTTCTTACATAACTTAAAAAATATTGATCTTAGACTGTTAAAATTTTCGGTTTTTTCCTAAATAATCATAGTTCTCCTTTTAGGCCTAAAACCGCGGACTTAAACACCAACTCAAGCTCACTGCCTGAATTTTGGGGGTTAATTAATTACCCCCCCTCCCCCAGTGTTTTATTTTAAATAAATCAAAAAGTGTTGTTCTTTCCAAATTTCATACATTAGATTCCGAGGGGGTAAACCCCTTCCCCTCCACTCCCACTCACTTCAAGTAAAGAGTATATCATTTTTCTTCAATTATTAAAAAACTTTGTAACGCAATATACAAAGCTAGAGTTACAGCAACAAATTTAATTTACTGAGCTTAAAAAGACAGATCTTCCACCCCAAGAGTATAAACAAAATTAATTTGTTTTCGTCATTTAAAATTAAGCTCGAACCACAAATAGTTTATTATGAATTTTAATCAAATTTTATTCTTTCATTTAAAATGTTGACTATTTATATACATAGAGAATAGAATATATAGAGAGGCATTAAAAGAATCTCTCGGTATGCATTTTTTCAGTCCCTTTCAGCCTGAAAGGGAGTTCAAAGTGTACAAATCATGTAAATGTTTACAAATTATATGCAGTAGAGTACATTAATACAGTATGTTCCTTAGACTATCCATTTCAATTTCGAATTTTTTAAAATTTACACTTTTTTCTAGTAAATTCCTCTCTATATATTCTATTCTCTATGGATATATATGATATAAAATATATATAAAATACAATACTACACTTATTTTTATTAAACAATTAACAATACACAAATGTACACTTCTAGACTGTAAAGCACCAATGCCGAAATTCTTATGTACTGTATATATACCTACAGTACACGCCTACAGTACCTACTTACGCAAACTCTTGAGGTACACACACAAACACATGATACTTTCAAATAATATGAACATCAATAACTTATTAGATTAGTTTACCAAACTTTTCACACCATTTTACTGTAGAAATAAATATCAGTTAAAAATATCTTCTTTTGTAGTTTGACTTGGCAAAAAAGATTTTTTTGTCAATCTTTGAGGAATTTCATTCACTTAAATCAAAATGCTTTATCTTGGGTTCTCAGAATACAGAAAATGATTAATCGAATATTGATGAATTGATAAAGACTGTTATGTATAAAACACTGCTTACTGGAGCATTGTTTAGCTGTATGGATCCTAATAGACTGGGGACCGGAGATAGCAACGCGAACCCCCACAGTAGCTGACACCGCTCTCTCATTCGAACAAAACCGCCTTGCATGTACTGTACCGCAGAGGGTTCAAAACCGCCTTGCATGTACTGTACCGCAGAGGGTTCAAAACTTAAAACTAGGTAATAGAAACCAGGTTTTACTTAATAGGCTAAGGCAATTTTGTAGATATTAATACATTCAAAAAGAAATATTAGTTTATATTGTTAGTTTTACTTTCCTAAATTTTTTTAAAAAATTTTAGAGATAAAAATTACAAAGTACAAGATAGCAATTATTTAATTCAGGTAACTTGGTAGAGAACAAACTGGTTTTTAAACTTGATAAGCAGTTTCTGTATTGATCCTGTTAACAAAACTAACACTATAGTCATAACAACCGTTAATGTTGCACATTTCTTGTGACTTGTTTTGTTGAGTTGCAACTTCTTAACTAACTTATGACTAAAAAACCAAAAAACTATTCTGTAACTATTCTGTTTAGGATGGATATCGAGATAAGAGAGGGGATTTAATTCTAAAAAATTAATAATCACACCAGAGATGGAATTTAAAGAATTTGAGCCGCGGTTTAAATCCGCCAAAACCCGGTTCAAATTCAGTGCCGGCTTAAATCTTGAAACATTTGATACAATTTAAAGTGGAACCAACCATATTTAAACCGCGACTTAAATTTAAACCGCCGCTCAAATTCTTTAAATTCGGCCACAGATCTTATTATATAGGTTTTCTCTAAATCGAAAATAAAGAGCTTAATTATTCCAGAGTTTATAATTATGAGTTTTATGAAAATACTTTTGATCATTCAATGTCGCCCTAGTTCTTATACGCCACGCGGGACTTGATGTTCGTTAAATTGAATTGAATATTTAATTGGAGACCTTGCTTCAGCTAATAATAAATTTAAATGAAGTAAAATGCAAGACATATAATTATGTTAACCTTTTATTGTGGATTATCAAGATAATGTTAGATAAACTTAGAGTTATGAAGGTGAATCTAGACTTATTGATTTATTATTGAAAACGCATTTATGTACTTATGCTTAGAGCAGATCAATACTCTGGATTATCAGGTTAAATAAACTTAAAAGATATCTTAATTCCAAGGTTGAGACCTTATATTTATGTTATCCATATAAACTTATTAAAAATTCTTTACGTTCCGAATACTTAAGAAAAAATTGGAATTATATCTACCGATTTATTTCTAAGTTAAAATATGTCAATCTTATATTACAACATTACAATTTGGAATTACAAGTGGTTTCGATAATACAAAATTTGGTCTCCTTATATACTCGAAGATATTTCGCCATATTGGTTAGGCATTTCATAATGTTAGGATTAACATTAGGCATTTAAAAGTATTATAAAATACCCTAA